AATAGATTGAAATTCTATAGCAAAATTATTTACAATATCATTACCATTTTCAAAATACTAATCACCCAAATACATATTTTCGGGCAGACCAGGATTTTTTCTTTTATTATTAATAAAATTCCAAAACTGTTTAAGGTTTCCTGTTGTATTTATATTGTATTCAGTGATTCGTACAAAATTATCATAATTGTGTTTACTTAGTTCATTGCATTGTCTTCTAAGGTTGGAAAATATCAAATAATCATCCCAATTTTGACTTTTTTTAAACCGCTTGTTGCTATTTTCTTTTCTTTTGTTAAGTATATTAAGTCACTCGAAAACCAATGAGGAAACTTTGATTTTCTAAATCGCACAACGGGAATAAAATTGTGCATACCATAAAACAGCACCTTGTAAACATTATCAACTGCCTTATCTATGTCAGTTATATTACCCCATAGTTTGTTCCAGTTTATTCCGGCCAAGTAATAATTTAGACCTATATAATCGCCTTTTTCAAAATTGTATCTAAAACTATTAAAAGTTAATTCTTCATGGACATTTCAAAATTGACAACTATATTTAGAGCTGGGTGGTATGCGTAATAGTACATCATTTGATAATTCCACGGTGACACTTTCATTCACATTTGAAAAAATAAAATTCAAAATACAGCCATAGCAGTTTTTAATTGTGTTCATTTGAGAGAAATTATGAAAAGCAAAGTTATCTGCTATGGTTTGTGCCATATTACTTATATTTATATTTGTGGAAGTGATACACACCCCCAACTCATCATTATACCAATCCACGTTCGGCAAATTGTAGTCACCTGTTAGAATTATTTTATGATCCGGAAAACGATTTCTAATGTCATCAATAGCTAAGCAATGATCTTCATAAGCTGTTAAATCAGCTCCAGGTGGAAAGTAGACACTACCAATTATTCATTTGTCTTTATCATAACAAATTTCCACAAAAACGTGTTCGATATTATTCTGTGTGACTAAAATAGGCTTACAAGAAAATAACTTTTTGATACCTCTAGACTTACTACTGGTTATATGTGATCTGTCCTTCCTGAATATATTAAAATTTGACAAACCAAGCTCACTATCTTTCAAATCCTCATGTAACCAACTTTCAGTAAAAATTATAATACATAATCCCAGGTTGCTACATTACAAATTAAAGTTTTGATTTTAGTTTGAATACCGCGTACATTCTGATAGTAGATGTTCAGTTTCCCTTTAGGTGATGTGTTACCCTTGTTTATACGTTTTTTCTTTGCATTTCACTGACAATCCTCGGTATTCCACGCAGATATTTAATTGTTAGGTTGATCTCTCCTTTTGCTGTTCTCTCACTCAGTTCCTTGCGTAATTCCCGAATCTGATTCCGTTGAAGAGGAGTTTGATCCGAGCTTAATTTTATTTCCGCGTAATTGATCTTGTTTTTATTTTTAAAATATCTATTACGTGTTTTTTGGACTCTAATATCAATTTAATCGGTCTGGGGTTATTTCTTGTTATTCCAACACGAATAACTTTGTTAATAGGTATATTTGAGCAAACACTAGATAAAACGTCTTTAATCTTCGTGGTGTCATGATTTATTCTTTCCTGTATAACAGTGGATTCGGACTCTGAGATTGTTGGCCCTTTGTTTTCGTTCCTCTGCTTCATTAACTAAATCAAAGTTTAATGGAATACCTTAAGAACGCTTGATATCCTGAGGAACAACAAAAAATCAGATATCCCTGATGAATTAAAAGACGTCAATCTCATTAACTAGCACTTCAATTCCATACCTCAACCTATCAGATCTGCTCACCAATTGTCCTTATTAGATCGATATGTTAATTCGGAAGAAACTGAAAACTCCTTTCACTTCACCTCAGTCACCTGTGAGATTGTGCGAAGTTCCCTGAGACGCATCAAGAGCAACGTTTTGGGTTCTGACGGGATATCCCTCAAAATGATCAATCTCATTGACTCTTTTTTGATAAATCACTTCACCTTTCTCATAAACTTTATCATTACCAGTTGCCAATTTCCAAAATGTTGGAAGGATGGATTGGTTATCCCTCTGGCTAAGCGTAACTTACCTACTGTCCTTTCTGACCTAAGACCAATTACAATTCTACCGTATCTCTCTGAAGTAGTGGAATTGATTCTGAAAAATCAGATTAATGAGTATGTCAATGAAAATCATATTATAACATCTGTACAATCAGGATTCAGACCTCAGCATAGTACCACCACGGCTCTTCTGTCAATTACTGACGATATTTTTCAAGCTGCAGATGAACAAAATTTGACCTGTTTAATACTTCTATATAGGTGATCAAAATG